TCACCGAAGATAGGCACGAATCAACACCAATAAGTCACCCCACAACATGGCAATGAGAAGGCTTGGATTCGGTTTGCCTGATTGTTAGGGCTTGTAAGCCCCTGCAGGCAGAGCAGAGCATGCGCTGCAGGGCACCGAACACAGGCACGCATCAGCGCCTAAAAACCTCCTCACAACATGGCGAAGAGAGGACCCGGATTCGGTTTGCCTGATTGATAGGACTTGTAAGAACCTGTGGCAACTCTAGCAAGTAGAGCAGAGTGTGTGCCGCGGGACACCGAAGACAGGCGCGTATCAACGCCAAAAATAAAAAGAAAGGGGGATCTGTGGGGAGCAACCTGGACTGGACTGAGTTACTGGAATTAAGACTTATTCTATGCATCTGCTCTCCCACAATATGGCGCTGGGAGAGGAGAAAACAGCTTCTACACAGCTGCCTCCAGTTCAGCCAATAAACTGTAGGACTTGCTCCTGATTGGAGGAGAGCAGCGTACTCGGCGTGTGGGTAGCAGAGTTGGGATTGGCAGAGGGGGACTATAAAGGAGGAGAGAGACGGCATGCACCGGGAACATCTAAGGGGAACATCTATCTGAAGGAACACCTGTGCAGCCCCCGAGAGAGCCGGCCGGCGGTGTGCCGCTCCCCTGTGGAAGTGGGGAATGTGGCCAGGGGGAACTGCCCTTCCACGGAGGTGGAAGGGACAGTAGCCAACCCGGGAAGAACCAGCAGCAAACCCGGGGAGGGCCGAGCAGACGAAAGAACAGCGCAGGGTCCTGTGTTGCTCCTCCACGAAGAGGGGGAGCGACATAATGGTGCCGTGACTCGGATATGAAGCCTAGGCAGGGTTTAGTGTCGTTCCTCCGCGAAGAGGGGGAGCGACAATAAGTGAAATAAAACTGTAATCTTTTTGGATTGACTTTTTTTCCTGCTAAAGATTTATTTATTTACTTGCAAGGCAGTTACAGAGAGGGAGAGAAAGAAAGGGAGAGATGGAGAGAAAGAGATTTTCCATCTGCTTGTTCACTGCCCAAATGTTGGCAATGACCTGGGCTGAGCTAACAAGCAGTATTTTCCTCCTAACATACTTCTCTGAAGACTCATCCAAGTCTGGTCCTCTTTATTTCTGAGTAGTATTCCATAGTATGAATGTACCAGTTTCTTTAACTGTTAATCCATTGAAAGACATCTGGGTTGTTTCTAGTTTTTATGAATGACAAACAGGTTGTAACCATTCTTGTGCAGGATTTTATGTGTGGTTGTTTCATTTCGTTGGAATACATGCCCAGAATGTATCTTCTGATGGTAGTTGTGTGTTTGGTTTCTTAAGCTGTCACACTCTTGTTTGTACGCTTTACATTCTTATCAGCAATGTATGAATGCCTCAGTTTTTCTGCAGCTGATTCAGTGTGTGGTGTGGTCCCTATCTGCAGTTTCAGCCATTCTGATAGGTGTGTAGTGATAGTTTATTGTGGTTTTAATTTGCATTTTAATTTGTGAACATCATTTCCAGTGGTGATTTGCCACCTGCATCTCTTCTCCAGCAGAATAGCTCTTCGTATCTTTTGTCTATATTCAATTGGATTACTTAATAATTTTATGGTTGAGTTTTCAGAATTTTAAAAATATAGCTAATCCTTTGCTGGATATGTGATTTGCAAATATTTTATCACAGCTTGTCTTTTTGTTCTCTGAACAAGATTTTCCCACAATAAGTGGTTTTAATTTTAGTGAAGTCTAGGTTGTCTTCTTTTTCTTTTATGGATGATGTTTTTAGATTCAAGTCTAAGGATTCTTTGCCTAACCTTAGATCCCAGATATACTCTCCTGGTTTTTTCATAAAAGTTCCAACAGCTGGGAACAGAAAGTACAAAGAGTAAAAACCTCTTTCCCATCCTTTCCACCTGTCTCTCAGGGCTCAGTCCTTGACACACAGGTGAATGGATGGGTGCTAACAGCTCAGGGTGTGTCATCCCAGGACTCGGAGTCCTACTGCTACTTTGCTGACTGGTGGACACTTTCTTCAGGCTCTTCAAACATCGTAAGACATTTTGGTGGTGAAACTGGGGATGAGGGAAGTCAGAGAGAGGAACAGAGGGAGGGCGGCGGGGGGAATCAGAGGAAATGGCAAGCAGCCATCCTTGTCTCAAGGTGGCAGCTGGTGGAGGATGATTCTCCAGTGTTAGTTTCCATCCTTGCTGTCTTTCTCCTTCCAGGACACACATGTTTGCCATATGAATGGAAATGAACACCAACTGATGTAGCCTTGGCTGGGCTCAGCCACATGATTTTCTACTTTCGTCTTGGTTTTGAACGATGCCTTCCACTCATGGGCTTTCTGTTATTAGCAGAGAATTCTTTTCATGGGTGAATTAGATGATATCCTTGAAAGAAAAACAAAAGACATCTTGTGATTCCTTAAAGCCTTAGAAACTGCCTGTTTCTGAGGATTAGCGGTGACCTCCGGTAGATGTGCCATGACCTAGGCTTCTTCTCCAACCAAAAGTGTCTCTCCATGTTCCCCAGGCTACTATTAAAAGGGTGGGACTATTAGAAGGAGTGCCAGATATAGGAGTCGAGGAGCCTGGCTCCTTGAAAACATCGAATCTGTCAGCAAATCCTCTTCCTTCAAAGTATGTCTGGAAAATAGGCATTATTTTTTACTTTCACAACCAACATTGTCACCCAAACCACTCTCATCTCTCTCCTGGATGATTGCATCACACCCATTGTTCTCTCTGATTCTGCTTTGGACTTCTAGCACCACCTATAAACGTAAAGTAATCTTGCAAGACTCAAGGAATTCAGCCGAGATCTAATCAGTTTTCTAGATTTACCTACTTGTTTACGAGGGAATACAGCCAATAGGAGAACATCTTACATGATAGCACAGAGATACAGTCAACCTATTCCAATGCGTGTGCATTTCTACAGAACAGAGGACTTAGTTTCTTCAACAGATCAATGCTACTCCAGGGGAGAGAGGAATGTTGCAGACAGAGATACTTCGACCAAATGCAATGTGCAAATCTTGTTTGGATCTTAATTGCAATGAACCAATTTTAAAAAGACATTTTTAAGTTGTAAGACATTGAGTTGGCTTGGTTATTAAATGCTTTGAAGGAATTATGGTAAAATTTGTTTGATAAGATTATAAAAAGAGCTCTCTTCTGGAGATACATACTGTTGCGTTTAAGGGAAATGACATAATGTCTGGGATTTGCTTTAAAATATGCTGCTTCCACACTTCCTGCCCACCCCCTGGCCTAACACCTAAGCTAAAAGAAATGAACAAAACCTTAAAAGGATGTATGTGTCATGGTTGAAGGGAACACGACTGGCGGAATATTGATAGCTGTAGAAACCAGGGGCAGCTGCACTCATATTATGTATTTGTTTGCATTTGAAGATTTCCACCACACAAAGTTTTCATTTTATTTTTTTAAAAATCTTCCTTGCCCCTTCTTTTCTAGGAATTCTCTAGTCAACAGGAAAATTTAAAATCTCCTAAGTCACGTTTAGCCCTATCTTCCCTCTCCTTCTCCCTGAGGACTTGTACACATTGTGCAGTGCCCTTTTACGTTTGGGCTGCTCACCTCATACCTGCTCACCAATATTCCCCCGGGGTCCTGACAACTGCTGCAACATGAGGTATCTCTAGCTTTAGGTCAAAGCAGGAGGATCCAGATGAGTCACCACTTACACATTTCAGCCCAGGAGTAGAGATGTGCAGGTAATAGTATGTAATGTTTTATAACTCCCCTGAGTTTGTCTTTTAAGACTTTGTTCTGCTGGTATCCTTTTGGAATATTTCTGTGCATCCCTATTTGGACCTCATTCAGTGCCAAAATTTTGCTGGTAGGAAGAGCTCATGGCCACTGGTTCTTGGAGCACACAACAATCTTTAGGTGTTTGTCAGCTTGGCGTCCATGGTTTCTTTGGACTTGGTGGTTCCTATGTCATGTGTGGGATGGGTTGTGGTATCTACTTGAGTGCATAATGCAGCCATCTCCTCTTGGGATTTTCTTTCTTTCTTTTTTTTGCCATGTTGACTCCTCTAACCACTGTGTGTGTGTGTGTGTGTGTGTGTGTGTTAAAGATTTCTTTTATTTATTTGAAAGACAGAGTTACAGAGAGAGGTAGAGCTAGAAAGTGAGAGGTCTTCCATTCCATAGGTTCATGCCCCGAATGAACACAACAGCCAGAGCTGAGCTGATCCGAAGCCAGGAGTCAGGAGCTTCTTCCAGGTCTCCATGCAGGTGCAGGGGACCAAGCACTTGGGCCATCTTCTACTGCTTTCCCAGGCCACAGCAGAGAGCTGCATCGGAAGTGGAGCAGCCAGGACTGGAACTGACACCCATATGGGATGCCGGCACTGCAGGCAGATGCTTAACCCACTACACCACAGCACTGGCCCCTCTAACCACTTTGAATGTCCCTCTCCTCCATGGTCCATAGATCGCTGTCTGGGACCTAATCCACACTTCTCAACCAGTCAGATAAGAAGGCAGGTGGTGCCTAATCTCAAATATTCCACCTGTTATCCTCTTTTTAATGGAACTTGGCATTTCAGAAAACTTTTAAGATCATCAGCATGTTGTTGCCACCTTCAGCTGCACTGGATTGAGCACAGAGCCTGCATCTGCTTGAGTGCAAACGGGAGAGAGTGGAATTCCCAAAGTCTTCAAAAACTTCTAGGAAAATGTATGTTATAGAAGAAAACTGTGCCTAGATTTCATAGTTTTTGCCCCAAAATAAATACCTTTTAATTCTGTTTTCTACCAACTTTTTCAAATACCCTTGGAGACAAGGAAAAAAGAATAAAACAGAAATGTGTTGACATCTTAAAATATTCTGCTGCGTTTGAAAGACGGGAGAGTTGAACTTGCTAGAGATCCCCCGCTGGGAAAGGACCGTGCCCTTGGAAGTGGGGTCTCTGTGGCTGCAGGGACTGTGCTGGGTCCACAGAATGCTCTGATGTCATCACTGAGGTCGGAGAATGCTGCTGCGGGCCTGGTGACCTTTGAACCTTAACAGCCCTGCGTGTAGTGAGGGCTGGGCAGCACTTCTAATTCTCTGCGTGGTGGTCTGAGTTCTTCAGTCATTGAGGGCACTCGGCTATTTTTGATTGGTTCTGAATCTTTTTAACGGACTACCCAAGAGCGAAGGAGGGCCTCCTTGTAGGCAGAGGGGAGCTGGCACTTAGCATCCTTTGAGGGACTCTTGGAGTTGATACCATGAAACGGCGGCAGAAGAGGAAACACCTGGAAAACGAAGAGTCCCAGGAATCTGCTGAGAAGGGAGGAGGTAGGTGCTGGGCAGCGTGTCTGGGGCCCAGGGCTGCCGGCCAGCCTGGGCCTGTCCTCAGAGGGAGGGGCTGAGGGCTATAAGCACCATGACGTAGGCAGGGAAGAGAGGCGGTATCCCGGATGCCCGGGAGCCATGCCTAGGGTACCGGAAGCATGAGAGGGCATGGAAGGTCCAGATACCTCTGGCAGACACACATGCAGCCCCAGTTGTCTGGGAACTTCTCTCCTGGGGTTGCTGGTACCTGGGGCCCCCTGAGGCTCCTCCGGCAGGATGCGATCCCAGGGGTCCAGATGCAGAGATGCAGCTTCTCTGAGCCCCCTCGTTCTCTCTCCTTCTCTTGACTTGCTGTCTCCCTGGCATCACTGGGTGGGGGCTGCGAAGGGTGCTGGCGGCACCAGGGGCTGTACGTTGTGTTTTGTTTTAGCAAGGAGGAAAGAGTACTGCGATGAGTTAAAGGCCTTCTTGAAAGATATCTTGAGACATGAAATGCTCACTGGGAAGTCGGTTAAGGGCCTCTCTGGGGATGTTGTCACATAGAAACTATGGAGTTGTCATTCCTTCACTGGAAGAATTCTCCAACTGGCCCATCAGAGCTTGTGGGTGCACAGGTTGTGAGCTTCCCAGGGGAAGCTGTCAGCATGCTGGGGGAAGCAGAGAACACTGGGAGCCATCGACTCCCTTCCCAGGGCACCCGCAGGGTACGCTTGGGGTCAGTGTAAACGTGGCTTGCCTAAAAGGTGGGAGTCACAGGAGGAGGCGGGGCAGAAAGGAATCATCCCAGGGAGCCAGCTGGTGGCGCATGCCCAAATTAGACACAGCAGCTTCTGTAAGGCCCAGGGCCTGGAAGACCGGCCTAAAGCCCAGAGTGGAAGCAGAGCTCCAGATGGGGGCTGGGACAGGAAGGGAGACATTGGGTTTCCTCTCCACCGTCCTCACACTATAGTGTGTTGTGTGGGTGCGTAAGTGTATGTGTGTGTGTGTATGAGTGTGTGTGATGGTGTGTGAATGGTGTAGTGGATGTGTGTGTGTATCTTAGTAGGGGAGCAGTGGGGAGAATGATGGAGGTGCAGAGGCGTGCAGGGTAAAGTTGCCATCAACATGCCTGGACCCAGGAGCCGCTCAGTGCAGGTAGCCATACAGAAAGTTCTCGTGCAGGGTCTTCTCTGAGGCACTCACTCAACCCCCAGGTGCCCTCTGATCCAGGATAACCGTCACCATCTCTTCTATAGACGCTTGCTTTCTTAACCCTCTCACGGTGTATACAGTTACATGCACACACCACCCCCCACCACAGACACATCCTGAGATTTTGTTTTGTGTGTGTGTGTGAACCCTCACACAACACAGCTCCTTTAAACTATCTCTAAACACCTCTGTGAGAACCAGTCACACATCACAACACAACACAGCACACCATATGTGTAACTATATAGCCATATCAGACTCTCTTTGCACAAACCACAGTAAAACAGAGATTCATACCACCTTCTTATTAAGGGTTTCCAGATGGAATACAAGATATTCATGTAAACTTGAATTTCAGATAAGCCACAGATAATTTTTAGTATGAGTTTGTCCTGAATATTATGCAGCACACACACTAAAAAATTATCTATGGTTTATCTGAAATTCAAATTTAACAGGGCATCCGGTATTTTTGTTTGCTAATTCTGGCAACCCTGCTGTATTCATCAGGAAATGACACATGACATACATATTTGTATTTAGTGCTGTTCTTCCCTGGTAGAGTGGAAGATCCAATTAGAAGGGGGTCTTTATGGGGTGGGCATTTAGTGCAGCAGTTAAGTTGCCATTTGGGATGCCTGCATCCCGTATTGGAGTGCCTGGTCCCACTCCCAGCTTCTTTGCCTCCAGTCCAGTTCCCTGCTAATGGGCGTCCTTGAAGGCAGCAGATGATGGTCAAGGACTTGGGTCTCCTGGATTCGGTCTGTTCTGGAATAGTCCCAGCTGTTGCACGCACTTAGGAAGTGAATCAGGAGATGAAAGATGTCTCTCCATCTGTCTTTCTGCTGTTCAAAAAGAATGCTAAATAAATTAAATTAAAAGGAAGGAGAAGAGGGTCTTTGTTTTCTTCTGTATTCCCAAATCCTAGAATAGTAGCCTGACACAGAGTAGCTGTTCGCTAAATATTGCTGAATGAATGGATGGAAAACATATTCAGTGCATCAACCCCATGCCTGTCAAAGGCTCCCGGCACACATCCCACTTACTCTTTGGACATATTCTCAGTCGCCACCCAGGCCTTCATCGCTAGTCAGATACCAACAACATGACTGTTGGCTGTAACGAGTACCCCACCCTCCCCAGAGCCACACTCCAAGCCGCTGTTTCCCCCCTGCTTGACTAGTGTCCGAAACTCAGGAAGTGCTTGTTGTGTGGATGAGTGATGGACAGTCTTGCTCAACCTACAGTGTCTCTGAGCTCTCCTCCTTTCTCAGGGATCTCGAAGCCACAGGAGGATGCCCCGCAGCCTGTACCCATGGGAGGGGACAAAGTCTGGAATCGGGAGGCAGCGGAGGTCTCTTCTGCCTCTGAGTACTTCTCCTGTGTTTCTTCTCCACGCAAGCTCATCCATGCTGGTAAGGGTGTGGGGCTGTGCAGGTGCAGGGCTCCTAGGGTGTGGGGTCCTTGGTGCAGGGGTCCCTGGGCGCTTGCCTGCTTGGGGGCAGTGTGGGGGACACACTGATCTAAGTGTGGGGCCGAGGGGAAACTGGGCAGTTGGCGATGGTCTGGGCTCTGCAGAGCAGCCAGGCAGGATGCAGGGTGGCAGAGCAGCTGGGAAAGGGCCACGTCTGGATGATAGGGCAGAGGGTCGAGATGAAGCACCTGGTGAAGAACCATGTGGGCTCTACCTGCCCGCAGAGAGAAGGACAGAGGTCGTCGGCACAGGCTCCACGCACACTGCACATACAAACCATCTACACCTACACGGTCTCAGCACAAACACAGCCCACCCTGCTGTTCTACACTGCATCTCCACCTTCCACAAACAACACACTGATGATGTCATGAACTCACATCCTCATGGCACACACCCACGACCCTCCCACACAGGCCACAGCCCTCACACAGGCACACACGCCTACCCAGGGACACCTCTGATATCCCCCCTTGCCACCCGCCACACACAGAAACCATGACTGAGAGATGCCACTCCATGGCCAGAACAGCCAACGGCAGCCACGCCCAGCACCGACTGGACTGCCTCCCACTGCAGCCCCTGCCTCCTGGACCATGCACCCTCCTAGTTTTGTGCCCCTGGCCCACATGTGGGCCCCATGCCAATCCTTACGTTTCTCCTTTTCTTTCCCAGGAACCTGGAGGTCACCGCGAGACAGTCCCCAGCCTAGATCGCCCCTAGCCCAGGTTGAGGAACAAGGGGAGACTCCTCTCCCCACACAGCCCATCTCCTTCTCGTCCCATTCATCCTACAAGACCTGCGTGTCCTCTCTGTGTATAAACAAAGAGAGGAGGGGTATGAAAATTTACTACATGCAGGTACAAATGAAGAAAGGGGTGGCTGTCTCCTGGGAGACAGAGGAGAGCTCGGAGTCCCTAGAAAAGCAGCTGCGCATGGAAGAAGTGACCCTTCGCGAGGACGTGCGGGTAGGGACTCCCCCGTCGGATGTGTCCACCAGAAACCTCCTGTCTGACAGCGAGCCCAGCGGGGAGGAGAAGGAGCCAGAGGAAAGGGCCGATTCAGACAGCCCGCCCGGCTCGCCCACTGCCGAGGAGAGGCCCCGGGCCAAGACGCCCGACTGGCTGGTGACCATGGAGAAGGGCTTCAGGTGCATGGCCTGCTGCCGGGTCTTCGCCACCATGGAAATCCTCCAGGAGCACGTGCAGTCTGGGGTCAGGGAGGGCTTCAGCTGCCACGTCTTCCACCTCACCATGTCGCAGCTGGCAGGCCATGTGGAATCAGACAGCGCCCAGGAGGAGGAAGAAGAGGAGGAGGAGGAGGAGGAAGAGGAACAAGACAAGCCGGAGGAAAAGGAGAGCGAGGAGGAGCAGCCCACGGGTGACGACCTTGGCCTGAGGAGACCTTGGAGCCAGTGTCCGGGCTGCGTGCTCCATTCTCCCAAGGACAGGAAGTGAGCAGGGCTGGGTGTGTGGAGGGGCTGCACCTGCTCTGAGCCAGGGCCCCCCCGGTTCAGGCTCAGGCCTCCCTGAGGGGGACTGGGGGCTTTATGAGCTCAGGGAACAACAGGAGAGGCGGGAGCTGAGCCCCCGCTTCTTGCCCAGGCACCTAATAAGGTGGTGCCTGTAAGAGCGGCCGGTGCTGAGCTTACCAGTTCCCACAGAAAGTCCAGACGCATTCTGGGGCTGGCAAGCTCCTCTCCCCCGTAACCTGAGAAGTGTCTTCTCTGCTTTGGTTTCTGCACAGCAACTGAAATTCATGGGCCAGAAGATCCTGGAAGCTCATGTGGCCTTCTCTTGGGAGAGGTGAGGCCTGAAGCTCGCAGGGTTCGCTAAGCCTGTGTCCCGAGGACCCAGAGGAATCTAACAGAAGGGCTGCAGAGAGGCACGCACGGGGCCGCCTGCTGGCTCTGCAGCCCCGTCAGCTATGGCAGATCAGTGCTGCAGGGAACCGGCCTCTGTTTATGTAAATGATTGGGAGCTTTCTCAGTGTCTCCACTCTATCTCCACTCTATCAGGAAATACTGTTGCCCATTGATGCAGAGGGAGCTTAGCATAACCCCAAGGGCTGGGACTGGCTTGAAGAGAGGATGTGGGGTGGGAGATGCCAGTGGGATCAGAGGTTTGGGGTTTCAGAGCCTCTGCCTGAGCTGGGATCTCATCCGGGCCCATGCGCAGAGTCCTCTGGCAGGAAGAGGCATGTGGAGAAGGAACCACATGAAAGAGGGTCCCAAGAGACCGGGAAGGATTCCAGAACATTCGTGCTGCTGCAGCTGGTCTGGGGACAACTCCCACTGTGGTGTGCATAGCCCTGGGCTTTAAGATAGAGGTGGGGCCGGCGAAGCGGCTCACTAGGCTAATCCTCCGCCTTGCAGCGCCGGCACACCGGGTTCTAGTCCCAGTCTGGGCGCCGGAGTCTGTCCCGGTTGCCCCTCTTCCAGGCCAGCTCTCTGCTGTGGCCAGGGAGTGCAGTGGAGGATGGCCCAAGTGCTTGGGCCCTGCACCCCATGGGAGACCAGGAGAAGTACCTGGCTCCTGGCTTTGGATCACCATGGTGTGCCAGCCACAGCGCGTTGGCCGCGGCGGCCATTGGAGGGTGAACCAACAGCAAAGGAAGACCTTTCTCTGTCTCTCTCTCTCTCACTGTACCTATAAAAAAAAAAAAAAAGATAGAGGTGGAGGGTAACTCTGAGCAGAGAGCACCTGTCACTTCCTGTCTCCTCCTCTTCTGCCTCTTGTGTTTTCTCACTTCCAGGGAGAAGAACGGACCATGGAGAAAGCAGCTGGCAGAATGCCAATGGTTTGAAGGAGGAAGAAGGGATCAGCCCTCAGCCCAGTACAAACACCATATGCAATAAAGGCTGTGCTCCAAACCTTGTCCAAATATGTTATTTAATTAACACACGAATCTACCTACCTGCATTATATACATCTGTCTCAGTTTGTGAACCAGACTGCTCAGGGTGAGGTAGCCTCAGAGCGTCTGTGGGTTTGCGACTGAGGTCTCCCGTCAGCCCTAATGATATCACTGGCAGTTTCCAGCCGCAGCAGTAGCCAAAGCCCTGGGATTGATTAGGCTTCCGTGTGAAAACTTCGTTTTGACGGGTGGCCAGATACCACACTTCACGTGACACCATGACCAGCTGCTCCGAGTTCAATTGAAGCAATCAGGAATTCGCAGGTGCTGTGGAAACGAGGCCCACTGGGTCATGGCGGGAAGCGCTGAGCAGGATTTGGCTGAGAAAGGAGGCTGCAGACGCCCGCACGCACGTCTGTTGTGGAAGAGGGACTCTGTTGGCTGTGTGTTCACAGGGAAAACAACAGGACAGAGGTGAGCTTTTTCATCTGGGAGCCACCTTTGGAGCAGGTTCCTTCTGCAAGGCTGAGACTCCATGATAGAGCTCAAAACAAGGGCAGACAGCTGTAATCAGGAGTTTGGGGGAGAAACTGCTGTGCTAAGGGTCTGAACCAGTGAGCTCTGTTATTTCCAGGCAGGACGTTAGCATTTCTTTTTTCAAATAATTCTCATTCTGGCTTCCCAAGGATCTGACCCCCTTGTCTGTGAGCTTCATCCTCTCACCTCTGCTACCCTCACTGGAAGGAAAGGAACTGGAGGGCGCTGAGCACTGCTTTTGGTGCCGTAGGCTGTCCGTGGTCGTCTCAGAGAGGGAGGGGTGGAGGTTAAGTGTTCTCCTAAGCAGAGGATTGAGGGAGTTAGAAGGAAACAATCTGAAGTCCAGAGACTTCCTCAGTTTAAGCAAAGTCCCTAGGGTGTTTTGAGAGTCTACAAGGGACCTTCAGCAGGGCTTTGTTGAAGCAGCGGTGGTTGCTCTGATCTTCTGTTGTTTCCTAATTCCCAGCTTCTCTGTCTGAGATAGAAGCTGTGTATCCGGTGGACTGCTTGCCATAGGATCCCTACTGCTTCCTTCAACCCTCATTCCAAAGAATTCAGAATTTGAGGCTCACCCTGGTCTTCTGAACTCTCCCCACCCACAGGGGATTCCACTCACTCTATCAACCACTGCACACCTTGCAACCTTCTCCCTAGCAGTGGAATCGTCTTCAGTTTGCTTTTAACTTCCACAGGTGATCTTGTCTAATGATTGCACATTCACATAAGGTGGTGTGGCATTCTTCCTGTGCTTGGCTTACTTAACGTAATGACCTCCAGTTGCACCCATGTTGTTGCAAATGACAACATTTCTTCCTTTTTTCAATGGTCAAGTAGTATTCTATTGTGTATATATACCATGTTTTCTTTACTCACTTATCAGTGGATAGACACTTGTTTCCATTCCCTGGCTATCCTGAATAATGTTACAATAACCATGGGAATGGAGAGGTCACTTCAACACTCATTTCTCTTGGATTTATACACAAAAGTGGGATCATATATAGTTCTATTTTTAGTTTTTTGAGGAACCTCCACACTGTTTCCCACAGTGATTGCACTACACGACATTCCCACCAACAGTTTTGGAGGATTCCTTTTACTCTACATCCTTGCCAATCCTTGCTGTCTTCTGTTTTTCTGATAATAACCACTTTTTTTAAAAAAAAATTAATTAATTGGTTGATTTGAAAGGCAGTGTGACAGAGAGGGGAAGAAAGAAAGGAAGAAAGAGAGAGATTTTCAACCTGCTGGTTCACTCCCCTAAATGCCTGCAGCTGTTGGGCTAGTCCAAGTCAAAGCCAGGAATCCAGAACTCCATCTGGGCTTCCCAAGTGTATTGCAGGAGCTGAAGTACTTCGGCCATCATTCACTGCTTCCCAGGCACATAAGCATGGAGCTAAATCAGAAGCAGAGTAGCTAGAACTTGGCTTAACCCACTGTGCTGCAGTGCCTACCCCTAATAACTGCCATTCTGACTGTAATAGGGTGATAGCTTCTTGTGGTTTTGATTCTTGTTTTTCTGCTGATTAGGGCTGTTTGAGCATTTATATACATTGGCCATTTTTATGAAAAATGTTATTACTATTGCTATTCAGTTGTTTGAGCTCCTTATATATTCTGGGCCCTTTGTCAGGTGTATGGCATGCAGATAGGTTCTCCCTTCTGTAGGTTTTATCTTCACTGTTAATGTTTCCTTTCCTGTGTGGAAGCTCTTTAGCTTGGTGAAATCCCATTTGTGTATGTTTGTTTTTGTTACCTGTGCTTTTGGGATCTGACAACACAAATTCTGGACCAGATTGTGCATCCCTGCTCGGGGTAAGGTAACCTCAGAGCTCCAGGTGAGCTCACGTGGTAACTGTTGGGTAGGATTGTAGTAGAGCAGATGTGACCAGACTGTCCTCCTTGAAATCCACTAACATGAACTCCAGTGGTGAAAGAAAACAGGAAATCTCTCACAAAGGGGGGATGGCCACACCCCATGTTTGCCTGACTCCCTAGGAAGCTATGGTCAGCCCCGGTGCCTCTGCAGACTTGCACTTCGGGCAGCCTGGGGCCCTGTTCTCAGAGACCCCGGGGGAGCTCACCATTTCAGTCCACATGGTCCCCATCGGGGCGGGGGCTGTCCTGTCTTCAGGCCTCCCTTGGGCCACATCTGCGGGATTGGTGACTCCCTGAGATGCAGGCAGGGCAAAGTTCCCACATTCTTGCTGCCCTCCTACCTCCGCTTTCCTTCCTGTGTGAGCCCTGTCTGGTCTTCTAAGGCTGGTATTTTCTGATTCCTAGTTATGCACTTCAGTCTAATTTGCACTTCAAACATGGTGTCTCCTGTCCCTGCTCATGGACAGGCAGAAAGCTTCCCGTATTGTAGAACTTGGGATTGAAGCCCTCGTAGGAGTTGAAGGTGCTTGCATTTTACTGGCTGGTTTCATTACTAAAGGGCTGAGCGTTTTTTAGACACCAGCGGGGCTGTTGGGGAAATGAGAGTGGGCTCTGCTCACCTGCACCTGGGCCTGGTGGGTGGGGCACACCCCCTCACACCTGTGACCCTCTCCATGGGCCATGTTCCCAGCCGTTGACCTAGAGGCCAGCACCTGTCCAGTGACTTTGGATTCTTTGAATATGTCTTGCTGGGAAATATTTTAAATGCATGAAAGTTTTTGTTAATAAAACAATTTCTAGGGACCCATCATCCAGCTTGATTAAGCTTGCTTTTTTTTTTTTAACCATATTTGCTTCAGGTGGTTAAAAGTATGAACAATGACACTCAAGGTGTCCCATTTGCTTGCTTTTCTCCAATTTTGAGGTTTTTCTTTTTTTACTCCTGAGCATGTTTTATAGTGGTATTGCATACATATTTATAAAAATATGTAATGTTTTGAGTATTTTAAAATAGTTTACATATAATACTGTACTTTATGCAATTCTTTGCAACTTACTTTATCATTCAAAAATACATTTTCCGGATTATCTGTCTTCTTAAATGGATCTATGGTTCAGTAGTTTCTGCTGATGGATTTTAGTTCATTCTCTCAATGTGCCAAGTTTTCATTTGTTCTCTTTCTGATGGAATTTTGGTGGTATCCAAATTTCCTCTATTACAAAAGAGACTGATTCTGACTTCCTGCCTGGGAGTTCACCCAGTAATTTTTCTCTTTTTCCAGATCCTACTATACAATTAATATTGATAGTTTTTGTTCTTTAAAAATTATTTTATTTGAAAATTTTTTGATTAGCATGTATTATTTGTGCATTTTCATGGAGGTACAGGTTAGTACTTCAACATACATTCACAATGTAAACCAATCAAACCAAGCAGGAAACATTAGTGTTTCCTTCTCTTTTTTTGTGTTTTGGAGCCTATGAGGTTCTCTCTTGTATATATTTTTTTAACTTTTATTTAATGAATATAAATTTCCAAAGTACAGCTTATGGATTACAATGGCTTCCCCCCCATAACGTCCCTCCCACCCTCAACCCTCCCCTTTCCCACTCCCTCTCCCCTTCCATTCACATCAAGATTCATTTTCGATTCTCTTTATATACAGAAGATCAGTTTAGCATACATTAAGTAAAGATTTCAACAGTTTGCTCCCACACAGAAACATAAAGTGAAAAATAATAGATGATTTTTTAAATGATGATGAAATCAGAGCAGACCTATTGTCTATGTTA